TGGCTATTCCCAAAACTCAAGAGACCACTCCGGGGAACGCGTTTCGAGTCGATTGAGGAGATAAGAGCTGAATCGAAGAAGGCGCTGATGGCTATACCGGAAAGGGACTATTTGGCATGTTTCGAGGATTGGAAAAAACGTTGGCATAAGTGTATTTTATCGGGAGGGGATTACTTCGAAGGGGATGACATTGATGTAGAAGAATAAATAAAGATTTTTCATTTTACAAACAAATTCACCTTACTTTTTGCCCACAGTAGTATACCTCCACCAATTCCATCACACGGACTTTTACCATGACAAATTGCAAAAAAATGCCACTCTACTCTAATAGAATAAATGCTGTAATGACGAACTAAGTTTAGAAAATTCATTCTATTTTTATATTGCCTTCCGGCACCATCACTAACATAAATAATTTTTTTTACAGTATTTTGAAATGTATTTTTGACGAATTCAATTAATTTTTTTTGATATAATAAAACTGCATATGAATTATATTTTAAACTTCCAGATATAACAGCTAAACTTTTTTGCTCGACTTTACCGTTAATTTTTTTGTAAACTGAAAAAGGATGTATAGTTATTTGATCTTTAGTATAATACGCGGATTGAATTTCATCTTGAAATTGACATATATAATTTTCAGCAAAATCCATTATTACAACAAGTTTATTATCCTGCAAATTCGTAATTGTTGTTCGTACAAAATCACGTTAACATTTCGTTACGTAATCATGCACGCCAAATTTATTAACAAACTGCACTGTTAGTTCATGGACATACTGTTCTCTAATTATCTCAACATCAATTAATTGGTGTATGCCATTCACATTCTTCCATTGTTTGAATTTGATACTACTAATTAAATTGTTTATGAAAAAAGTTAGTAATTTATTAGCTAAGAAACCAAAGCCAGGACATTCAAAACATGCATTATAGCTACATGCCTCAATTGGATTATTACATAGTATATGTTTAAAAATTTCGTTTTGATTTATCGGAATTGTATCATTATCTTTTAAAAACTTATAAGCCCCATCCAACATTAACTTATTATTTTAATGATATATACAAAGACAAATATTATGAAACCCTTTTAAATCACTCACTAGAACACATTGTTTTGGTCGATACTGACAGAATGTAGAGAATCCAATCTTATCTTCTGGAAACTATTCTTTAAATAGTGCGTATGCTTCTTTAAGACTATGGAGTAATAATCTTTTTCTAATATTTTCTCGTTTCTCATTAGTTTTTACACTTTTACAGTCTTTCATCCCAGGGCAGATTCGACTGATATCATCTTGCAAAAAAAATGATGTTACATTTTCTATTGTCTTATCAGTTACGATATTTTTTCTTGTTTGCATCGCAAAGTTTTTTAGCGGTTGAAGCAATATAAAGAGAGAACCCTACTTCTTTTTGAATTTTACGTATACTCCATGAAAGTGGAAAAATTGTTAAAATGTGAATTTTTTCAAACCAAGTAGTAGCTTTTTTATACTTTTCTTTCAATTCATCGATAAAATTAGAATCTAACACACTAGTATCTTTATTTTCATGCTTTTGATCATTATTTTTATGTTCCCTTAGAATCGCAGCTTTCAAATAATCAACGAGAGCATTAATTTTGTCTTTAACTATACGAGGATTTTTTAGATCAATCAACCTTATATTATTTAAATGTAATTTATCATTCAATTCATTTAATGCTTTTAGTACATAATCACGTTGATTATTTCCTTCAAGCTTGAATTCATCGTCTATATTAAAATTGTACTTCTCTGAACATACCATTTTTGTTTCCATGTGCTTTACTTCATGATCATTTCCATGATGCAATCCGACATCTTTAATTGAACTTTGCACACTACCTTCCAATTTTCGATTAGCTATTACTTTATAACATTTTCTTTTACAAGTTGGACACAAAACATCTCCTTTTTCCAGATACGAGCGGAATTCTACATAAATACAGTTTGGAGGTGGCTGAAAACAACCTTCACGACTATTGTTATGAAGATGAAAAATGTTTTTACATACAGAATAATTAAAACTCATAATTAAGCTACTTGAATCATAACACGAAAACACACAAATAACTTCAAAATCGCAGTTTTTCAAAATGTACCTTCTTCCAGATGCAACTGCTACGTGGCGCAGGCAGATGGTGAATGCATACTGACTCAGCTTAGAGAAACACAAATAATCGCAGTTTCAGGTCAAAGTCAACTAAATCTAGAATATTTTATAGCTAGTCCCCTCGCTCCTTGTTGACCCCTTCGCTATGACTCAGGTAGTCGAGAAAAGTAAAAGTAAGCCTCACATTTAGCATTAATAAAGACTTCTAGAAGCTATTACAAATTAGTGTTTATAATTTCTACCATATATACTTTTGAAGCTAAACCGTTCACTGATTGTTGATCCCTTCACTGTGACTCAGGTAGTCGAGCAAAGTAAAAGTAAGCCTCACATTTAGCATTAATAAAGACTTCTAGAAGCGATTACAAATTGGTGTTTATAATTTCTACCATATATACTTTTGAAGCTAATCCGTTCACTGATTGTTGATCCCTTCGCTGTACTCAGGTAGTCGAGCAAAGAAAGTAAAAGTAAGCCTCACATTTAGCATAAATTCTTTTTCGTAAGAAATTCAAAGACTTTTAAAGACTTCTAGAAGCTATTACAAATTGGTGTTTATATTTTCTACCATATATTTTTGCATATACGTCATTCTCACACCCGATCAAACGCACAGAGCAAATGTTTCATTCAATGTTGTTTCAGATTGTACAAAATAATAGTTCATTTATATTACTTATATTACGTTATATTAAGTAAATAAGTCATTAAATTTAATTTAAATTTAATTACTTATTTAATTAATTAATTTATATATGATTTAAATAAATACATATAAACTGTTAGAATATGAAATTATTTATTCTTTAAAGAAGGCAATTGCAGCAAGCAACGTTGGAACCGCACCAGTAGCAGACGGCCGAGCGGCTAGCGCGCGGTGCGTTTCATTTTAGTGCTATCTTAATTCTGATACCGGGCACTCGATTTTCTCAACGGTTTCTTATGTAAAAAATGACAAGGAACACGATGGTACAAAAATTTAAAAAAAAAATATCGTTTTTTGAGATATCGTCGATTTTTTGAAAAAATTGTTTATAACAATGGCATAAATAAATGATTTGGTATTTTATTATTTACATTTTAAAAGTGAAACTCTTTCCGCGTCTTTTAAAAAAAGAATCATGTCCATATCTTTATTAGTCTCCGAGAAATCGAATTAATAAAAAAAAGTCCAATATTTTTTGAACAGTTGATAAGTCGGCCCCTTATCAATATTTTGATCTAAAACTCTGCACAGATGTTAACCTTTGTATAGGTAATAAGTCTACCAACTTTGAACAAAATTGGCGATTTGAAGTTTTAAACTGTTTGAAATAGCCAAGCGCTAAAGAAGAAAAATGTAGTTATCAGTTCTAACTGACTTAAATGTTATAACTTAAATGTTATAACTGTCTATAGTTAGTTCATGGGAGAAGTAGGTCTATATGATTATCGTTGTAACAGAGAGAATCCAAGTGTTAAATCAAAAAAATGGACATGGACTATATTTTCTCGAATAATTTAATCTGTACTGATATAAATTTTAAGAAATTTATTTGGTGAAAACGATAAAAAGCTTGCTATTATTTCAATGAATATTATTTGAAAAAAGCTAGGACTACTAAATTATTTAAATACAAAGAATTTTTTTATGTATAAAATGAAAATTTAGTTCAACTCATTTTGGTGGCATAAATATTCTTGAATAATATATCCTTTTGAACATTTAAATTTATATTTCTGGTTCGAACTAAATACTGTTAGTGAAGAAGCCTAGCAAGAATAAAATTTTATATCAATTTTTTGTGACTAGCATTCAACGAATAAATTACTTATAACATTGTATTATTATTTTCATTTTCTCTCTATCATTATACTTCTAAAACTCTATACATTCCAACAATGTAAATGTCATAATTGTGATAATATATTTAATAATAAAATATAAAATATATTGATTGTGTGCATGTATTATAAATCAATACTCTATGTTCACATTTGTAATAGTCCTATAAAGTCAGAAAATTTTATGTGAAGATTAAGTATCATTTTGGAGAGCAATTAAATGTAATTGGTGATTTATTAAGTAAAAGGTAATTGATGACAGCTTTGCCATTTTTGAAATAGATTTCATTACTTTCAATAGTTAGTTTAAAAACATTTCTGATAAATATTGAGATAAGGTTTCTTACTGAAATTCACTTAGTGGCATATATCATGAACGTAATGAATTATAATATAACTAATATATGTAGAAGGTGGTTGAAAATGGTGATCCGAAGTTTTTCATAACGTTTTGCTTGAAATAATTGAAATAAGTAAATAATAGTAAGAAAGTTACAAAGGCAATTATGCAACTTTTTACTTCATAAAATGTGTTTTTTGTGGATTAAGATACACCATGAAAAGTATAAGCATTAAAAAAAATATGTTGAGATATTGACAAGTAAAAGAAATATTTTAAAACAATATATCACAGTATCAACATATCGAAAGATCAAAAAGATAAATATTCAAGATATCTTCTAAAAAATAAAAGAGTAAGATTTGCATTTCCAGCAAATTAGGCCTCTTCGCTACACCATTTTTAAAAAATGCATGCGATATTTACCTCAGTGCTAATATGGAAATAATATCATATATAAAATGTTAATGTATATAGGGGTTGGCAAGTAAGGCGAGCATGGGGTCGAAACCTCACAAATGTACACACATACGCATATATGCACACAAACATGCGCATATACATAAATATACATATACAAATACATATCCATGTTCATGTTACATGTAAATATACAAAACCAAAACAAGTTAATAAAATTATTGAAATTATTGGAAAAAACTCAAAAATATCAAGAAAAATAATGTCTTACACAAAGTTGAGTGTTATATTCTAAAAGTCCTACTTTTATGACTCTTCGGACTTCTATTATTATGCAATTAACTATTTATTCCATATTATGCCATTTTTCTTTAGGAGTACATGAAAGTTATACCAGGCTCAGTAAACAAAATACCTGTAACTATAAAAGTGAATTAACATGGTAAATTTTATATTGGATTTAAATATCTGTATGTTTCATGCTACATTGTAAGTGATCATTGAAATTTGAGATATTAAAAAGTATTATCAAAAATTATATTAATATAATTGGCAGTTCTATTATTTCAACAATTGTAATTTTAATTTTATAAAGCAAAACATAATTAGATTAAATTAATTGAGTTAATCTTTTATAGAACGTTATCCTAACGTGTAAATAAATACAATTACCATTACGATATTTACATCGATATGTATATATACCTATATTAATATATTGTATATGAAATATAAAAATTTTCGAAATTAGCTAACTACCTATTTAATTCAATAATATAAAACGTTGCTACTACTTATAAGCAAAAGAAATCCTGCTTAATAATTCTTTAAATTATCTAAGCACAAAATATTTACATGCACTCTATTTATCATTATTATAATTCTTGTAAATTTTACTTTCAAGATAAAGTTTATTTTGAACATTCGAGAGGTACAAAAGATAAGGTCTTAAAAGTTAGCACCCAATAATTGAAATATGGAATAAATTTAAAAATTCATTTGACCATTCGATTGGGCGGCTTTTAATTAATCACATATCGTTTGTGCGTCGATTATGCTCATTTTCCTTATGTAAAAAACAGATAAAATTAATTATGGGGGCTGGCGCTAGCACCCAAATTTGATTCTCCAAATATAGTGGTTTATATCGTGAAAATAATTTTTTACAATATACCAATCGTTAGTGCGTCTCACGCATTATTGGCATCCAACATAAAATTATTAAATAGTTTATCGTTTAATTAATTAAAATAAAATAATACTCTTGCGCATTTAAAAAGGTTATTATGACATTGTTTCGCGCATGCGCCTCGTATGGAACAATGTTGGCTCGGGACGGAACGAGGAGCCAAGACGCAGCGTTGTTTCACCTCTCCTACTTTCTTCATTCACTTACGTGTTAACATTTGGTAAGGTGATTGTTGCGATGGCTAAATAACATAACATATAACACATCGCCTTAAACTAACAATACATCAAATATTATATATTATGATTATAACTTCTCTGTTTAAACAGAAATAACTCATTCCTCATTATCTAACCTAGCTTTTGCACGGATACAAAGGCGCACCCATTACGGGTGCGCTTTTGTTCCTTCCACTGAGATGGAGGAGGAACCGCTCGATATGGATGATATAGAGATGTTAGACGAAAGTTCATCTCTCACCTCTATCCGCTCAAAAAGAAAACACGTTTCTGAAACAAAAATTCCTTACGATATTAACAAATACAAACAACCGCATATCGATCGTATATCTGAATCGATGTCACAGTCTCAGTCTAACCTAGAATCCCAACAGTGTTCACAATCGCAAAACTCACAACAATCTTCCCAATCTCAATCTAACTACAAAACAGATAATCTATCTCAAAGAATCGGTCTCCCTAAAGTCCTTGAATACACCAGTGATATCCCGCCTCCATAAAAAGTAATTCTCCAAACGAAAGGCCAAAATGAAAAAATTGTTAAGCATGTTCAAGTTGCATGTAAATTAGTTCCACAATTCCCAGACAACACCTTTGACGAAATTAAGTCATCAGGCACAAACAAATTCATTTTCCTAACTCATCAAAGGAAAGTAGCCAACCGCCTTCTCAAAGGAGACTTTGATTTCATTAAAGATAATAACCTAGAATCAATAATCCCTAATTCATACATTTATAAGTATGGCATTCTGAAGGGTATACCTGCTGATCTCACCGAAGAAGAGATTTTAAAGAATATTGAAACTCTACTCAGCCACTACAGAGGCATACATGCTATCAAAACACATCGCTTTAAAAGAAGGATCGTGAACAAAAAAGGTGAAGTAGAACCTATACCTACTGAGACGGTACAGGTTATTTTCAAAGGACAAATGCTCCCCCCATATGTGTATCTTTATAGATTTAAAGTGAACATTGAAGTTTATACCCCAAACGTAAGGTTGTGCACCAAATGTTTCCGTTTTGGACACACCAAGCGCTTCTGTAAATCGCGAAAGCATCGCTGTTTGCATTGCTGTAATGACCACTCCGCCGAATCATGCACTACTCCCAACAAAGACCAACTTCCTTGCATAAACTGCAAAGAATTAGGTCGCTTAGCAACTGATAAGAATTGTCCGATGAGGAAATTTGAACAAAAAGGCCTTTCAAATCATACCGTAAAAACAAATCAATTCAAGAAGTTATGGCAGAATTTAGAGCCCTCGAATAGACCAAGTCTATCACTAACTTTCCAGAGTTTCACGACTTACTTGCCTATGGAGAAATAGCTCACACCGAAAATCTCTCCCCAAATAATATCACCAAACAGCCAGGAACCGTCAAAACTCATGTTTTGCCAGTCACCCCGCTCGTCCCAGACAATAGAGTCTCATGGTCACCCACCCATAATACTACTGTACGTCATAACAGTCCCTTAACCATTCCTCAAAGGTCCTTCACTCATAATAAGCTCAGTAAAAACTCGTCCTCACTTGAACGAAGATCACCCCCTAGACCCTCGCCTCCTTACTCGGACGAACATCGAAAGCTTCTCATAGCGACAAATGGCAATTACGACCTCAAATTCAATCCAATTGCTAATCCTCAAGCAGAAAAATCGCTTGAAGAACACGGTCTACAAGAAGGTGATGGCTTGCAAGAAGGTATACTGCAAATCATCCCTTGCGATGACGGATACAGGTTTAACGGCATGCTCTTCACACATGAGCAGTATAGTCAGATATTTTCCAACTTCTTGAAAGACCCCAATGTTTTAAAATACACTCAAGACAAGACTCGTCACGAAAATGAAGATAATGCTATAAACCTCGAAAGAGAAGTTAACTCTCCAGCTACCGCCCAAGATTCAGAAACAACAGATAATGCCACTGAAGACAATACAATTTTAATTTTACAGCAACAAATAACTACAAACGAAGCTCAATCCTCATAGCAATCCCACCTTAATTTAATACTAAGATAAATATTAAAAAAAAAAAATAATAAAACTCATTATAATAATAATAACATAAGACAAAGTATAAAAGAGCGAAAGAAAAAACATTTTTACCAATTAAACCGAATTAAATAATAATCATGAAAAAAAATGCTCACAGATAATCTTCGAATTCTGCAATGGAACTGCCAAAGCATAAAAAATAAATTAGACTCTCTAAAATGTACTGCATGTAATTACGATATCATATTACTATGCGAAACATGGTTATATGATGGTTTTACAATATCCATACCTGGCTTCCACCTCTTAACCAAAAACAGAATGTACGGCGAACATGGAGGTGTTGCGATCTTGATCAGGAAAAACATCCCCTTCGAAGTAGAAAATTAAACATATCATATAGATTATAGAATAGAAACCATATCTATATCCATTCCGATTAAAAAAAATTTGAACCTCAGTCAAAATAATGAAAACAAGCTCTTGATAACCTCCGTATACCGACTCCCAGGCGAAAACGTTACTTCACTTAATGAATGGAGAAACCTTTTTAATACCACCTCAAAATTCAATTTCATTTTTATTGCTGGCGACTTCAACGCCCACCATCCATCTTGGGGCTCTAATAAAATATGTAAATTCGGTGAAAATCTATACGATGCACTACTAGAGCTCAATTTACTCCCTCTAAACGATGGATCCCACACAGACTTTCGAAACGTTGATCAATCCATAACTCCTAACCCTTCATTCAATACCCAACCGCAGATAATTTCTTCCCCATTAGACTTATCATTGAACATTTCATAGACACCCACAAAGAGTATATTAATAGTTTACAATACATTGAAAAATATAATCTTCTGACGAACGTCTGTATAAATACTGTAAAACAACTCACTAAAAAAAGTACTCAGGTCCGCCCATATCTAACCCTCAGCTTACATAAACAATCATTCCTTTGATATTCATAAAACATACGAAGTACGCCCTCTTAAAGCGCCGTGGTGGGATGATGACTGTACAAACTTAACAAGAGAAAGAAGACAAGCAAGAGAATCCCTTCTCAAAAATCCGAATTACTCGAATCTTAAAAATGTGATAAAAACTGAAAGAAAGGTCAAGAAATTGTTAAGGGAAATCAAAAAACTAAAATTTCAAAACGTAATAGAAGAAAACTTCTCTATATCCACAGATGAAAAAAAAATGTGGAACATATTTAACTGCTACAAAAATGTAAGAAACAACTCCAAACGATTCAGCAATAACCATTTAGTACTAAATGAAAATGCCAAGAAATTTGCAAATGAGCACTGCGCAGAACCCAATTTTGATTACACAGGCCTGCAAGGTTTTGTTCTTTTGCAACTGAGGGTCATTTCCGAAGTAATTTTTGGCGTAGAATTCGAATCCGTCATCAGAATTTTTCCATCACGTCAGGTTTTTGAGTAATCGTCCCCTAAAGGTCGAAAAAACACGTTTTTTGGCCATATTCAAGGCTTGATTACATCGTGAGTTTATATTCTTTTCAAAAACGGTTGACGGCATCTTAAAGATCTTACCCTTCAAAACTCATTTTTCAAATTTAAGATATCATTTTTTTTCATCAAGATATCATCAATTGAAGTTTGCCATTTTTGAGGTTTCACCATGAGCTTAAAAGTTCGGCCAATTTTCCTGGAAGAATACGATATATTTCTTAGTATTTTTTGGATAATGATTCTAGAATCATTATAAAAAAAAAACTAAGAAATATATCGTATTCTTCCAGGACAATTGGCCGAATTTTTAAGCTCATGGTGAAACCTTAAAAATGGCAAACTTCAATTGATGTTGAAACTTCAAATGAGTTTTGAAGGGTAAGAGTGCTTCTTTAAGATGCCGTCAACCGTTTTTGAAAAGAATATAAAGTCACGATGTAATCAAGCCTTGAATATGGCCAAAAAACGTGTTTTTTCGACCTTTAGGGGACGATTACTCAAAAACCTGACGTGATGAAGCAATTCTGACGACGGATTCTAATTCTACGCCAAAAATTACTTTGGAAATGACCGTAAGTTGTAAAAGAACAGTGACGACTCTCTATTTTGCAGGCCTGTGTTATTCCTCATCTTTACCAACGGATAGCTCTGAAATACTACCTCATGAAGATCTTAATAAACCTTTCACTCACGAAGAATTTTTATTAGCCCTTAATTCTGCAAATGATAAGTCCTCACCTGGTCTCGACCAAATAGACTACAAGATGCTAAAAAATACACCTGACATCTTCAAACAGTACTTTCTAGACACTTTAAACGTATTCTTCAATGAAGACACAATGTATGGCAATTGGAAACAATTCCTCATTGCACTGATACCTAAAGGAAGTAACGACAAATTCCGTCCTATTTCGCTAGCCTCTTGCTCACTAAAACTGATAGAAAGAATGATCAACAGAAGACTTGTTCACTTTGTAGAACAAAACAAATTAATCTCTGACTC